CCCCCCCCCCCAGCAAGCTGGGTACTCATTTTACCGACCTCGGAAGGATAGAAGGCTGAGTCAACCTTGAGCCGGCTACCTTATTTTACTTATTGCATTTATACCCCACCCATCTAGTCAATTGACTGCTCTGGGCAGCTTCCAACATATATAGTAATAATAATTTAACAAAACCAAGAGTTTAAACATCAATAAACAAGTTGTTCAAGATGGAAAAATTAGGAAAAAAGAGGTAGAAAAAAAATCAAGTGTTAACTGGAGGGAAGGCCTACCTAAACATCCAAGTTTTCAGTTGGTTTTTAAAGATGCCCAGAGAAGGGGCTGCATGGATCTCCGGAGGAAGGTTATTCCAGAGGAGAGGATGACTTGATTGGGTACATTTTGGTGGAAGTAGGCATTCCACCAAGTACACACCAGTTTCAAAATTTGCCTTGTTTTCTCTAAACTTAATTAAGATTAACCACAGTTTGCATCTAAATGTAACACTGCATCATAGTTAAGAGGTTACTGTCTTCACCCATAATTTGCACTGGATTTGGCACAGATTAATTCAAATTAAAACCCAGCTATTACTAAATGTAAAGCTCATTGGGAGGAAAGCTCTTGTCTCTTGAGTGGGGAACTATCCAAACCAGTTTCAACATCTCCCTTGTTTTCTCTAAACTTAATTAAGATTAACCACAGTTTGCATCTAAATGTAACACTGCATCATAGTTAAGAGGTTACTGTCTTCACCCATAATTTGCACTGGATTTGGCACAGATTAATTCAAATTAAAACCCAGCTATTACTAAATGTAAAGCTCATTGGGAGGAAAGCTCTTGTCTCTTGAGTGGGGAACTATCTTTTTTTGTTGTTGTTCAGTTGGCGGGAGTGATTTAAATTTGCTCTGATCGGGCTGGCATCACTTTTCTCCACTTTCTGCCAGTGTGGTACCTGGATCTAATGCAAAAGGGCACATGCGGGATTGTCCATCCTCCTCAACTGAGTGCCCCTTGTCTCCAAACAGTGCTTCTTTTCTTTTTAAAAAAAGATTCTCGAGTTATCACTAGGCCACTTATGAAAAATAAATTAGCACTTTAAAGCAGCTTCTGCTATTGGAGCTCTGGGCAAACACACCTCTCTGCTGCTGCCCCTGCTGACTCCTGCAAATTGCTTGTCATCTGGATGGCTAAAGCAATTTCACCCATGAAAACGCAATTTGAAAACTTGTGAACCACAGTGGATTAAACCATATTTTCCCCATGCAGTTGCCCACTTAATCTAAAATGGAAAAAATATGCTTCTTTGATCTTCTCACAGCTGCAACTGGAGAGGAGAAAGCTTGCGGCTCGGTGCACATCTGTAATAGTAAACCATCATGAAAACTGCATTGTGATGTTTCATTACCTGCTGCATTACAAGGGCATAATAGACTCCTTTTTGTGCCATGAGTTCCTCATGTGTTCCCTGTTCGACCAGAACACCTTTCTCAAAGCCAGCAATAACGTCCGCTGTCCTGATTGTAGAAAGTCTGTGAGCAATCACAATGGTAGTGCGCCCAGTTCTGGCCTTCAAAGAAGAAAAGCAGCCATCATTTCAAGAGAGGAACTTATACCTAGAAAAAGATGGTTCACTTCACCTCTCCACAGAACCTGCTTGGAGTGATTAGACCCAGTCGGTTTTTGCCTGTAACACATATTTAAAATGTTTCCCGATACATACCAGATAGTCTTATAGCTGATTGTAAAGTGATAACTTTTATTTACCTCTCACATTTGCTGTACATCGAACCCATACTTACTTTTATACACTTACATACATCACAATTGATCTCATATACTGATCTTATATACTCACTTCACATTTAATATCACCTGTGTAAGTTTAGTTATTATATTAGCTGAAGGCACAAATGGTCAGGCCTAAAATTACTTCAGTTCTTTTGCTAAAGTTCTATATGTTTCTGCCAAATGAAGTGTTATGGGATCTACGTACAGTGGTGCCTCGCATAGCGAGGTTAATCCATTCCGGATTAACCTTCGCTATGGTGAAACATCGCTGAGCGGGACGGGAAAGCCCATTGGAACGCATTAAACATCGTTTAATGCGTTCCAAATCAGCAAAAACTCACCGTTCAGCGATGCATCCCGGTCCGGCAGCCATTTTCGCGCCCTCGGTAAGCGAGGGCAGGGCGCGAAAATGCTGCGCGTGGCCATTTCGGGGCTTCCAGTGGCCATTTTGAAACTGCCGAACAGCTGATCCGCGGCTTCGTTTTGCGAAGATCAGTAAGCGAAACGCTTACCGATCTTCGCAAAGCGATTTTCGGCCATAGGGGCCATCGGTAAGCGATCGCATTAGCGATCCAAAAAAACGGATTGCTATGCGATTTCGTCGTTATACGGTGCGCTCGTTAAGCGAGGCACCACTGTATATGCTTTGTACAACTGAGAAAAGCCCTTTAAATATGATTTCCCACACCTGGGATTTGCTATCAGCTCTTCTATCCTGGGAGGGAAGCCATGTTAATAATTGGGAAGACATACAGATTTCCTTAAAGTCTTGTTTGACCCTGAGACTTGGAGTTCTTGAGATCTCATGGTACCCGGGAAGGAATAACTCTCTTTGTCCAAAGTATGTGGCCCATGTTCCTGTTTTCTCACTCCCTCCTGCTTTTCCCAGAAGAAATCCTGGTGGTCCAATTGTGGTCATCTAGGTCCAATTGTGGCCATCTAGGTAATGCTGAACTGGAACTCCTCCACCACTGATTATACTGGCTTGGGCTGATGAGAGCTACAGTCCATCAACTTTTGGAGGGCCTCATTCTGCCCGTGTCTTAGAATTTAGCCTGTTCTTGTTTAGCACTGTTTCTGCTTGTCTCCAGAAAATCTCACAGGATCTTTTCATCCTATATGGGTGCGAACAAACATAAATGTGCATAAACATAATCAAACATGATCTGCCATTTGGTATCAGTGTTTTTCTGGTTTGCAGTCTAATTGGGTTATTCAGTAAATGCCATGCTTGGATGGACCATCTCAATGGGACATATTCATTTGATAGCCCTTTTCAAATACCTGAAAGGTTCAGAGGAGGGGCAGGATCCATTCTTGATCATCCCAAAGTGCAGAACATGTAATAATGGACTCATGTTACAGGAAGCTAGATTTAGGCTGAGTATCAGGAAAAAGGTCTTAACTGTTGGAGCAGCATGACAATGGAACCAGTTACCTTTGGAAGTGGTGAGCACTCCAATGCTGGAGACATTCAAGAGGAAATTAGGCAATCATCTGTCAGATCTGTTTTAACCTGGATTCCTGCACTGAGCAGGGGGTTGGACTCGATGGTCTTAAAGGCCCTTAGCAACTCAATTATTCTGTCATTCACTCTGCAATGTTGGTTACTATCCTTGAAACCAAACATGAATTTTGCCTCTTAATCTAATCTCTTGCCTGCTGAATAGCACATCGCACATCATTTTACCCCTGTATGGTCCAGGAAGGCCACCTTTGTGCTTTCAACTGTGGATATAAATAATATATTTATTCACACATTAGTTTCCAATCCTTTATGCTGCTTTCTTTTGCTTCACCTGTAATGGGGTAAAATCCATTTCTTAGTCCCAACTAGAATGGACCTACTGAATGAGCAGGACTTGTTAAACCCTCATTTATGTAAGTCCCAATAATTCAACAGGTCTACATTATCTTGGAACAACAAATGGATTTGGTCCTATGTCATCATAGTAGCAGGCTTACCTTATCAAGTGCTGCTTGCACAATGGCTTCACTCTGAGTATCTAAAGCAGAAGTAGCTTCATCCAGTAGCAGGATCTTGGGGTTTCTGGCTAAGGCACGAGCAATAGCAATGCGCTGTTTCTGTCCTCCACTCAGCTGAGCCCCCCGTTCCCCAACCATGGTGTTAAATTTCTGGGATAATGAGAATACAGAAATCAGAAGAGATCCCATTATACTTTCAATGTCAGTTTCAAAAACAAGAAAAAGTGATCACCAGTTGAATAAATGCATCTGAAGCAATCCAGAATCAATCCCATACAACAAATTTCTGTACTAAGGAAGCAGTGAATATATTTGTCCTGAGGACACTACAGTATAACATTGAGAATAGCATAGGATGGCACTAATAATAGTTGCATCCTTGAAACAACTATAGCAGGAAATACTTCCTGGGAGAAAAAAAGTATCACGGTGACATGTAGTAACCCACATTGATTCATTTGTTCCAAGAATTGAACAAAACATTCCATTGATTTAACTAGCTATTCACATTGGTCTCTTAATGTTTCCCGTAAGATTAAAGATTACATTCAGTACAAAGAATCTGTTTTTTTTTCCAAACGAAGTAAATGAAGAAAGATGGGCTGAGTGAACCCATCTAAATGATTAACGAGAGTCAAACAATGATGAGTGCAGCCACATCCATGAGTCAGGACGTTTCAAGCTCCAGTTACAAGAAGTCTTTGTCCAGATGACTGGATATTGAAGAGATACATGAGCAGTTATTTGCCTTTGAAGGATCTATACTAATTTGCATATTAAAATGACTTTTACTGCAGTTTGCTTCCAAAAATCTTCATGAAGGAAAAGGAAATCCAATAAAGAAAGCCATGCTGACACTGGTAATGATGATGATAGTGTGCTGTCAATTCAATTTTGACTAATGATTAGATATTTCTACATTTTCTAGGTATAAAGTACTCCAAGGTGGTCTACCATTCCCTCCTTTTGTTGGTACTCTGGCACCATCCAACTTTCACAAGACCACACAAGTGGCAGGGCCCATAACCCCACCAGCCGCTCACATTAATAAGAGCAGTAAAGCCAAGAGAACAATATACAGTATATGTTCATATATTATCATAAGTATGAAGCCATATATTGGCCATGTCCCATGGAAACAAATAATAACATATATCAAAACAGGTGCATCCAATAACTCCTGTTAGGTCTCTCTGTTCACTCATTCTGATTGCTTGCTCCCTATCTCAGTTTTACTCCTCTGCTGTGTTTCTGTTAGGAGTAAGCAAACAGAAAGTCATGTAGTAGGATGGACAGATCATAATGAGAAATGGGAAATTAAGATACTCACATCAGGAAGTTTTGATATGAAGTCAAAAGCATTGGCTTCTTTAGCTGCTTGCTCAATTTCAGCATCTGTAATATCCTCTTTACCGTAGCGAATATTGTTTGCTATTGTAGTAGCAAACAAAACTGGTTCTTGGCTTACAATGCCAATGTTTTCTCTCATCCACTTGAGATTAAGTGTACGGATATCATGGTTATCTATGGTAACCTGAGAGAAAGATTGAAGGAATATGTATGAGACATAAAAGCAGATTTTAAATGGTGTTAGTTAATAACTAGATTCAAATAACATTCTTGAAAAGCTAATAACTCAGCATATGATTTGGGTGAAATATGTAATGTGCTTGAATCTGGATCTTATTTACAAATAACAACACAATAAAATTTGTTATAGCATTTGAACACTATTGTTTTTTATTTGAAATGTTGTTATGCACCATCAAATCACCTCCAACTGATGGCAACTTTATGAATGAGCTATCTCCAAAATACCAATTACAAAATTAAAACTTCAAGTTGAATGAAGGCCAAGGCTATGTTAGTTGCAACCAGACCCATTTGAAGTATGTGGGACAAGTTAGCCATAATTTACGCATCACTGCTTTCAGCTTAAACTCTGCTTAGTTATGACAGCTGTAGACACATCATTTCATCCAGAGAAAATAAGACAGACTTTTGATCCAACTTACCTAGTATATTCTATGCTCATGTACTTGAACTTCTATCATATGAATACAATTCTATCTGCAATCATGTAGGCAATTATTGTCATTAAGAGTTGTATGACAGTCAATGTGGTATAGTAGAAAGAATATTAGACTGCAACTCAGGAGACTTGAATTCAAATCCCAACTTGGTCATGGAAGTTCAGTAGGGGCAGGTAAGGGCAAACCACTCCTTAAACATTTCGCAGTCTTTGAAAATTCTTTTAGGGTCTCTATAAGTTAGAAGTGACTCAACAGCAGTAACAAGAGTTGTATACAGAACTACAGCCCTAGGGTGATCCAGAGAACGTTTTACAAGACACTTTGGTCTCGTATTATTCACACCTACCCTGAGAGTAAACTTTTGCATCTTCACATGTTTCAAAGATGCAGCAAGAAGAAAATAAAGAATCGCTTCTAATTCTGGCATCATCCCCCTATGCTTCCAGGTGACTTTTAAGGTCGAGAAATAAGTTTACCATGTGGAGAAATACATTCTCCTAATGAGAAGAGAGAGAGCACAAGTATCTCTTTGGGAGATATACACACCTTCCTGCTTTGAGAGGAGGCACAGGGAAAGGTATGAAGTTTGCTCTCTCCCCCACACCCATTTTTTCAGAATGTCAAAAGAAGTCCCAAAGCAGAAGCTGTATTTTACACCTCTCATAGTTCTGAGTATTGGAAACCTCACTGGATGCAGGGAGCTTGTCATGTTGTCCTCTGGCTGATGAATAATACACTACGCAGCAATGCTGGGCTCACTGAAACTGCATAATCTGAAGTGCATTGTTGTGTTATTCCTATAGTGTTTCTCCAGGGTTCATAATGGTACCCTTTGATTTTGAGCACCAAAGCTTTTCATTCCAGGACATGTTGATGCCTGTGTCTACAGACAGGATGAAAACAACAACTTTGTCTCATAACCCATCCCTTTCCTGTCTTCCTCTTCTAGTGCACCTCATGGGGCAGTGGTTAAACTGCTGTACTGCAGCCAAACCTCTGCTCACAACCTGGGGTTCAATCCCAGGTAAATGGACCAAGGTTCACCCATCCTTCCAAGGTTCGTAAAATTAGTACCCAGATTGCACAAGAGGAGGGCAATGTGTAGCCTGCATAATTAACTTGTAAACCGCCCAGAGAGTACTTTCAGCATTATGGGGCGGTATACAAGCAGCACGCTTTGCTTCGCCAGCTCCTCCACTCTATTCTCTACCTCTTTCAGTTCCCCATCATGCCATGTTTACTGCCCCTTGCTGACCACCCCCTTCCTACCCTGGCGTGAAAAGCATTCCAAACCACAATTCTGACAACAACCAGTACTTCCCCCCCTCCCCCGTATATTTATTTGGCAAGTCTTTTACAAAAATGCACAATGAGTCTATTGTTAAAATGATTCATTCCTTGCAGTCTAGAGGGTAGCACTAAATTTACTAGCAGTAGAGATCAAGGGCACATCTACACGTGGCATTAGAAGTGGGCTAAACAGAGTCACTAAGAGGTCCAATATGCCATTTGGAGCGACCCTTGCATCCAATATTGCTGTCAATTGGCCAATATTGTGAAGTGGCTTAAGAAGAGAGCCAGTTCACAATACCGGCAAATTAATCACCTCCTTGGCTCTGTGAAGCAGCTCCAGAAGTGTGTGTGTGTGGGAAGTATATGTATATAACAGCACCTAATATGCACTGAACCACATTGAAGGTCTAAAAGGTGAATGGAAAGAAAATGGATATTAAAGAAGGCAATGATTTCATTGCATTAAAAAAAGAAAATCAAAATGTATGTTGCTATTTGTGTCAGGAGACCATCCCGATGGGAGGCATTTGTGGTTTCAACATACAACTTTTCTCACTGGGAATGTCTCAAGCTACATGCCCACCAAAAGTCTACTATATGGACCACACTAGGTAGCATTGGTACAACACCATCACCACACCAGAAAGAACCAGAATTTTTTTTTAAAAAAAAGGTAGCTCAAATCTGTGTAAGAAAAAAGTTGTCTGGATATCAAAGAAAATAGCAATACAATGTATGCAGGAGTCTGAGTTTAAAGCAGGACAATCATTGCTCTGGATGGGCCCATTGTTAGCAAAAGTGGTACTTCTATCTTAGAACATTTTTAGTCTGCTGTAATAGTTCACGTACTGCAATTGTGGGCAACTATGGCCAAGAATTATGTGTTCGCATTCCAACTCCCATAATGTTCCTCATTGCCTATGCTGGGCAGACCTGATGAAAGGTGAGGTCAAAGATCTCTAGACACTACAAGTGTTGAATTAGATGATTGACAGGAGGGAGTGAAGATTTAAAACTTTTAAAATATTGAAACAGATCAAAAAATTCAAATTGGGCCAGCTAACAAAAGGAGCTCTGATCACTATCATATCCTAAAGTTTTTGTAACAAACATTTTAGCAAGCTGCCTTTTTATATGGAAAAGTCCTAGTAGCTGTTCTGTACCAGGCACACCTGTGGCTCAGTTGAAACTTACCTGCCCTTCATTTGGATCATAAAATCTCTGCAACAGTTGAATTGTAGTGCTTTTGCCACAGCCACTGGAACCAACAAGGGCAGTTGTTTTCCCAGGCTGGACTTTTAGATTCAGACCCTTGAGAATCTAGAATAATTCAAATAAATAAAACGTTTGGAAGTTTTCAATATTTGCCACTAGGATAAATCCAGTGTTAGTCTAGACTGGAGTAGACCCACTATGTCAATTTGACTTTTGTAAATGCTAATTTACCAAGTTCCCATTCATTCAGTGGGTTGACTCTAGCCAGAACTAACACATAGATTCAGCTACTATGTATTCCAGACACAATTGCTTATTTTGATTACAAATATGCTTATTCTTCACAACCAACCACCTAAAATAAATTAGCCTGAATCCCATGTTAGTCTAGACTAGAGTAGATCCACCAATTCCATGTAGCTTTTATAAATGTTGACTTCCTTTTTTCCAGTGATTCATGGCAGAAATCTAGTTGTAAGTCATAAGTAGAGTAGGCCCTCTGAATCAATTTACTCCTCTGTAAGTTCCATTGACTTAATTGGCCTACTCTAGTTGTGATTTACTACTGGATTTCAGCCAATGTCAGCACTTATAAACTGGTTTGAGGCCAATTTTTTAAATAGACTACCACAATTCT